TCTCGGATGACTGTACTCTATTTGTCTCTTGAGGTCGATGCGAATAACATCGATGAGCGACACTACCTTTCTAACTTTAAGTTCGCCAAGTATCGAGAAATTTATGAAGCGCGCCACGCAATGCCCGCGTATTCTCTGCATATCGAGTGTCATGTTGGCCTTCCGCTTGAAAGAATAAAAAAAATACACAACCTACTCTACAATATCATGTTGGCATTTGAATTTTCTCTATATACTTTGTCGCATTGAAATTCGAAAAAATCGTTAACATTGAAAGATATTTACAAAAATTCAACTGAATGTAATCTTTGGCGCGCATACATTTAAAAAAACCGAAAACTTGTATTTGCACATTTTTAAAACGTTCAATTTCTTCGATATTATGTGCGCGCCTCTTTTACAATTTCTGAATAATTTTAGTCTCTATTGATGCGATTTTTTCTAGAAATAAATGTTAAGAAGAAAAATTAGATAAATAATGTTTGAAAAAACAAAACATGAGGAAAAATTAATGGAATTGTGAAAAGTGTAATGTTTCTCAAGTAAAAGTCATTGACTTTCATGTGACATATTATGGAATACCTATATGTGAATGAAGAATATATTAAACATTCACTACTCTATAAGCGTCGCATCGTCCAGGATCGAAAGTTCAGACTCTCCTCGTAAGCGAAATCATACATTTCGCAGTGCAGCGAATATGAGTTAACAAGGAATTTATAACCTGATCCTTCAAGCATGATACCTGTGTTACCATAATATCACAGCAAATTCACATTCTTTTACTATTACTCAGCTTTACTGTGTTATATTTCAAACAGATATACGAGGAAGAGCCATACTTAGCAAAAACGTAATTTACAATTTATTTCGTTTTCAACTTGGCGATTTAATGGGATTTGCGAATTTATGGACATTTATTTAATGTTCAAAAATATAAAAGAGGAATGCCAATCTTTAAGAATTGTCAATCTACATTCAATAATTTTACTTCTTTATATGAAAATTAAACCAGAAGACTATATATGTAAAGTAATATAAAATTGCAACTTACCTACACGGAGGAAAAATTTTAATTTCATACAGGACTACTTTTAAAATTATTCTTAAATATAGACGGTAACGATAAGAATCATAATTGACTTGAAAATATGCTTCCTTTTTTTCTTATACTAAAAAATTGTATTGTGAAACTTTATTTTTGTCTCCAAAATCAAAATACAAATGTTAAACTTACTCTGAAAGAGACTATAGTAGAAATATTAGGGATTTACATTAAATAAAATTATAAGAGACAGAAAAAGTGTAAAATTTACAAGAGAGCATTATTGAAACATTTAATTTAAGAACTAAGAACTTCAAAAATCATAAAAGATTTCTAAGCTAATTTACTTCTTACACGGAAAAATTTCGATTGTACTAAGACAGTAGTACAAGCGTTGTACTAAATTATGTGTCTCTGATGTACCAACATTTTTTCAGTGTGGGAGTATGAATAGCACAAATTTAAATTTTATTATTTACTTTTTTCATGACTACACATTAACAAAGTTGTGATAGCTTTTGTAGTATCGTTAAGTACACTAAAAAAAAGTTAAGTTAAAAAAAAGTTTCTGAAGGACAGATTTTTTATCGAATAATTCAAGGTCATTGTTCTCTGTATTCACGTATGGCAAAAATTTAAACACAACCATTCCTACAGCCTTTTTTCGTTCTCTTTCAGAATCTGACATTCAAATTGCAAAAAAATAAAATTTGAAAAAGTTGTGAACATTTTGACAAAAAACACGAAATTTTTACAGTTTTTTGTCGAAAGAAATATTTTTTTTGAAAATTGCAAGTTAAAATATAAGCTAAGAAATATCGCGTCCGCGCCCGCATTAAATATCAACCAATTAAAAAAACAAGTTTTATTTTAATTTTCATCAATTTTAGCAGGGTAGGTAGAAATTATTTATAACATTAATGTAAAAATCCTCTACAATTTTAATTCATTGTTTTTTTGATAAAATAATATTTTGTATCTGTTAAAACTTTTATAAGATTTTTTAATATTTTCTAGATGAAAAATATGTTTACATTATAATTTCTTAAAAATTTTACCAAAAATTTAATTTCTACTGCAATTTTTTTTAAATCGCTAGGGTTAAAGACTTGTTACTTGTACCTTGAAGCAATCATATCGTTTTAAAAAAGGTCTTGCTTTGTTTATTGGGTTCCTTAGGTGTGGCAATCGGATCAATCGCCATTTTTAAGGTGTTAGGTTGTTACGGTGTGTAATTACGATTCGATGGAGGACCACGAAGTAATCTTCTTCTTATTCTTTGGGCACAATTCAAAGCAAAATTGCAGGGTATTCTTATATTCAAAGACTCAGATCGTCTTTAACAATCTAAAAAATTCTCTTTTATTCTTTAAATTCTGGTTTGATTTTATCTTTTTTTCTTTTTATATAGGAAAAAAATTGTCCAAACTTTTATAAACTAGTCATTCAGTTCTAGATACGCTTTACAAAAACGTTTAAAAAATAAAAATAAACTCCCTTTCATAGGGAGAAAAACACATCATTAACGAGTTTTCGTTAATTTATAAAGAATTATTAATAATATCAAAATTAAATTAAATAATATATGTAATCGAATGAACTGCGTGCTTCTTATCTTTTAACTTAATTTATTAAATCTAATTATCGTACTGCTTTATTTAAATTTGATATAGAAATAAAGTGCCCTTGTAATGAGGTGTTTGAACTTAATACATTTATTAAGTATTTATTTTACGAACAGTTACTTTCTAATGTCTATGACCACCTGACAAATTGATCGATGTCAATTGGGGTATTAGAGAGGAAAAGTTTATTATTCTCACTCTCTCTTGTGAATTATTATTAAACTAGCAATATATGCCTCACTCGCTAACGATCGCTCGGTTGTAATTAAACATATTTGTATTTACTTATTTATTTGTATATTATTGATATTTTATATATTAAATTATTATAATATATGAGTAATAATTATAAATTATTATTTTATAATAAATTTGTTTAATTTGTCTTTTATTAAATTTTGTATTCTAATTTCAACCCTTATATATAAATACAATTATAAATATATGTTACCGGCAAAACCCGAAGTCCAGGTATTTTGCGAAATGCCTAGGCAAATCGGGAAATACCTAAAATCTCAGGTATTACTCGAATTTCCTGGACATTCTTAGGTATTTTCCGAATTGCCTAGGCATTTCGAAAAATGCCTGGACTTCGGGTTTTACCGGTAACATATATAGGTATATGATTATACAATATGAACTGTTTCAAATTAATAAAAAATAATGTTTTCGTTGGCATTCGTCTATTGAATATGAAATTTACATATTCAATCTACAATTTCATAATCATTTACCCGGACACTATTAATTTCTAATATATTAATGTGTTTTTACTATTGAAACAAATTACAAGGGTTATATAATACAGTTTAACTTTTATTTTTGAAATATTGATTCAGTTTTTTCACTTTCTTTTTTTAACTTGAATTTTTTAAAAACCTGAAAGTGCCCGGACACTTTAAAAAATGTATGTACGTCACATGAAACGTCTTATAAAAACTTATTTTATGTTCAAGGTTCTTTAAAATCGATTGATTTTATCACGAGATATGAAATTTTTAATATAACATTGTAAAAAACTTGAATTGTTTATAACTGAGAGAAATTTTAATTTTTTAATAAATTCTTTGAACTGTTTAATAAACTCATAATAAAGTCTTTATTTTACGTGTTTTCAATATAATACAGTAAACTTGAAATTTTGTTGTTACACTTCAGGAATTTTTACTCATATATGTATTAAATAACATTGTTACTATAATAATTAACATTGATTTTGCTGACAGTTGTTTGTGAATTATTATTATTATTGTTCATCATAGGTCAATACTCGAAGAGATTTTCAGGGTCGAGTACAAGACCATCGACCGATTGCGCTTTTGTGCAATTATTTTCATTGGTTCATTCAATCATTAACACGCACATGTACATACATATCTTTATATTACACTTTATTTTTTCATTGAAATTGCCTTCTTATATTGCATTTTATATTCAAAACAAAATTCCTCATCCTTATGAAAGTCGTCAATATAGTATGAAACAAAAAATATTTCATTGAAACTATAAATTCATTTTCAATTATTTATTAAGAATTATTAGGCAACAAATTAAATTTTTGGGGTACATATTAATCTACTGCAATAATTATTTTAAAAACCGCTGTTGTAAATAATGTTACTGCAAGACAAGACAAAACAATCAGTACCAGATTTATGTTAAAAATTCGATATTAGTTTACTGACGTTAAATATTGACGTTGAATCTTTAATGGATTTATGTTGATGTTGAATCCATGCAGAATTTATGTTGGGAATTCAGTATTGTTTTTCCGACATAAAGTCGACGTGAAATATGTACTACAATAATGTCAAAGTATAGTAAAGCTTTAATGTTTTTACTCAGACGTCGAATCTTCATTATTCCGACATCGTGACTCCATCAAGTACTAGAAACAGAATTAAATTTCTAGAATTGATGAAAAATTCTGTTTTTTGTGTCCAGCAACCTTTACAAATGTTAAAAACATTTAATTCTTTTTTAATTTGTTGTTTATTTTATAAATTTAAAAATTACCACAAATATTAATGAAAGCCCTTAAATTTTTTCTACTTCTAACAATAATTAATTAAACTTTACAGGAAATGAAAACAAATTTATTTTAAATCATTTAAATGTTGAAGATTTAATCGATTTAATTTAATGGAAATTCTGCTAAGCCAACATTCTAATAATAATATATTTTGCTAAAGTGATGGTCTAGAGAATATCGCTTTTACAAGAAAGAAAAATATGTTAAAAAAAAATTTGTTCATATTTATATTTAAACAAATAAATAATAAGAAATTTCAACTAAAAATTTATGTAATTTCTTTTTATTTCTGTTACAGCCGTTGTAGTACGATATTTAACAAGACGTTATATTGGTGAATACAGCTCTACTAGTGGTGAGTGTTTGTTAGAAATATTATTATTAGATGTTTATTTCCTATTTTCTCTATTTACTCTCCCTGCATTAATCAAGGTTCGAGGATCTAAATACAATTTGCTTACAAACTAAATACATAACTGCCTTAGAACCGTAATTTTTATGCAGTGATCTTAGGAATTATAATTGACGAATAGCATGGATTTTTGTATTTTGTAACTAACATTGGTATTTTCTCCACTTTTCAAACTAATATTATTGAAAAGGGTCTTCAAATTGATACTATTTATGCTGATGTGTCGAAGGCATTTGATAAGGTAGATCATAGTATACTATTAAGCAAATTTCACTGGGGATTTCTGACAACATTGTTGCTTTTTTAAGAGTTATCTGTCTGTCAGGCATCAAGTGGTAAAATTTGATGGTGGACATAGTGAACCATTTTTTAGCAACTTCAGGGGTATCTCAGGGGTCGAATCTGGGTCCTTTAATGTTCATTTTATATATATGAATGATGTAAAACCTATCTTCAGGCACTTCTATTTCTTACTCTATGCTGATGACCTTAAATGTTACAAAATAATTAATTCATCCACAGCAGAAAATGACACTTCAAATCTGCAAAAGATCTGCATCAAAAAGTGCATAAAAATGTTGTGTTAAAAATCATGTAAGATATCAATATAAGGAAAAGCTATGATGTCTCATTTTCTAAAGGTAGAGTCAATTCATGTAATTATACTGTTAATCATGGTTGCCACACAACCTGGAAAACCTGGAAAACCTGGAAATAGCATGGAAATTGAAAAAGGGTATGGAAAACCTGGAAAAAGCATGGAATTTGAACGAATTTCTGGAATTTTTTTTGGGTTAATGAAAGATATTAAGAAAAATTCCATTCAACATGTTATTTTTCTTTAAAAATGTTAACATGCAATTTTCCCTTTTCCATGTTATCTTCTCTTTAAATTAATTTAATTTTTTTAAATTATTGACTAAAACTGTGAAAAATGTTGTTAAGATTGTTCTAAAAAAAAGATTTTTTACGATTGTCAAAATTTTTTGTTATTAATTGCTTTTTGTTCAAGATTTTGAACAAAGTTTAAAGATGAAAATTATTTAATTTAGACATGACTTCAATGTTCTAATTATGGCTGATTCTTCTGAAAGTGACATTTTTTATATCTCGATTAATTTTATAAAATCTACTCTCTAATAATATTATTAACCATTGTCATAGTAAAAATTTATTATTTATAAGAAAACTAAATTTTTATGGTTTTTTTCAAACTCTTAGAAATTTTTTAAAAATAGTGACAAAAAAATACAATGTTTTTTCTATCATTATGTGCATTTTAAAAATTTTTGGACCTCTGTTTCATATGTGATAAAAATGTTTAAATTTGTCTTCAGTTTAAGTTAAAATTACTTCACGATGATTAATGATATTTATATACATTAAAAATATTCTAAAAAAATGTGAATGCACATTAAAATAAAGTTAATGGTCTGATGTTTAATTTTTCTATATAACATTTATAAAAAAGAGGAATATTATTGCTTTTATAAATATTTAAATTTTACATATTGGCCCGAGTAAAATTCAAAGAAGAAAGACTTTAATATTTTCAAATTGATTTTGCACAACTTAAATTCTTACTTTTGAGTATGAAATAAAGTAGTTTCAATAGAAGAAACCATATAATTTAAAAAAAAAAATTGAAAAATCAAATATAAAAAGTATCACTTTCAGAAAAATAAACATAAAAATGCCTGTGATTGTAACTGTTTAAGAGAACATTAATTTATAACTACATAATAATGAATATTGTTAACACTTTTGTAAAATACTTGTTTTTTTATCACAAATAATTCCTAAATTTCAACCTGGAATTTTTAATATTTCTAACCTGGAAAACCTGGAAAAAGCCTGGAATTTTGAAATCTAGATTTTGTGACAACCATGTTAATGTGTAATTACAATTAGAGAGAATAGCTTAGAGAATAACTAGGGTGCATGATTTAGGTGTATTGTTCACCAGTAATCTTTGTTTTAATGATCACGTTACTGAAATTGTCTGAAGGACCTCAAAATCTTTGGGGTTTATAATGCATGTATAATCTGGTCTCTTTTTTATGTCTTCCATATAATTAGAATTGAACATGTTCAAAATAAATTTCTTAGATTTGCTGCGAGAATACTTAATATTCCTTTTGATTGTCATACGCATGATTATAAGGATTTAAGGGATCTAATGAATATTCCTCTTTTGACATCTAGATTTCATTTCTCTGATATGTCTTTCTTGTACAGACTGATGAACGGAGCTATCTACTGTCTTTCACTCCTATCTATGGTAAATTTATCTGTTCCTAGAATGTTTACTAGACGTTAGTGGTACATTTAAATCTTTACACAATTTTTACTAAACTTTACAAGAAATACTTCGAAGTTTGCAAGTAAATCTTTAATAAATTTTTGGGAAAGTTTCGGTGCTGTTAATTTTCTGGGTAAAGTAAAGGCCTTGCTTTGTCTCTCAAAAATGGGTCTCCTGACAAAAAATATAAAGAAGGAAATGGTATGATTTTGGTTTAAACAGATTTATAAAATAGAAATGATGATGATGATGAATATAATCCATTTTGTATATTTTAGACCCATTTTTGTAATACTTGTGACTGCTTCTAAATCACCGTGTATTGACTATAATTAATTAGCTTGATAGTAATATATCGTTACTGATCAGATGGATATTCAACTAGTACTTAAACTATTCTTAAACAACTTTCAAGTACATTGCGGCAACACTTAGTATTTTTTATATGGAATTGTATAAATTATTTTTTTTATTTGTATAATTATGTGATTCCATGAGAATTCCACAGTGAAATTCCATGTTTACTTGGAACACTATTCACAAGTGAACGAAGGCATGTAAAATGAGCTTTGATGAAGTGGTTACTGTAACAAAATATTTGCCTCACTCTATGAAAAGATAGACATATATATCTTTTTAAGATGATTCTTTCTCTTTCATGCTGTTCGCGTTTGAACTGGACGCAGAAATAAAGTGACTTTATTTCATCGAAGAGAACCATGTCAGTTGATCTAGTTTTTGTCACACGAGACACACTATCTTAATTGCTTTATTATCCGTACACTCTACTGTTACTTTTTCTATTTCTAATTTTTGCGATTAAAGTTATGAATTTAAAAAATTACAATTTAGAAACTACTTAACATAAAATTTAATTGTTGTTTCAGTTTTAAATATAAAATTGTTTTTTTAATATGATTTTGTCAATTTTTACATGATTCCAATAATAGCATGCAACATTTTGCATTATTTATATTTATTGTTAGTTAGGTATGTAGCTACACATCTCTGTCATATAGCAAGCTAAAATTTTCATGATTTTTGTAATTACAACACACGATTATACAACAATATTAGTAATAAGATAATATTGTAGCAATGTGTTAAAGTTATTACCTTTTAGAAGGACTAAAAAAATATTGACTGACTAACAATTTATTCGAAACTAGATGAAACATCCGTTGACAATATAACGGAGTAGAAAAATCGGGTAACGATTTCCTCAATTGATTGTTAAATTCTCCGAAGACCGGTAGTTATCAACTATATATAAATGAGGCTCATGTCTCCACGTGCTTCAGGTCTAGTTCTCTTTAAGGTCGAGTGAGCAATCGTTAATGGTAAAAGTCAAGTTAACATTCTCTGCACATTATCGACAAAAATACCATTAAAGAAAAAAGCGTTAATTCTTAATTCTAAAATTAATCAGCTATTAGCTTTTTTCTAATTTTTTAAACAATTATTTTATTTATGCAAATATCAGAAACCTAATAACAATGAATTTTTTTCTGTTGTTCTTTTATTGAACGTCAATTATAAAATTCTTTATTTCATTGATACAAAATAAGTTTAAAATGTATTGTTATATAATATGGATTACTTTTTTCTGAAAAACCGATACTGATTTTCGAGAATATTGCTTTCATGAATTTGAAATTCTGACCTCAGATACGTAATCCCTGAAAACCCATAGCTACTAACTGTAGTAAAAATTGTATCAGTGGAAATAATTCGGCCTTTAAAGGGTTAAGCCTGTTTATTTGATTTATACGATTTGGAGATGATTGTCGTTGTTTCCAGACTTATTTTTTAAGACCCATTGAAACAGTGAATCAGAGGGCGGAGATATAAACACTCGATATAAAATATAGAGCCGCAGGGATAGTCTTCAGAATGCAGATCTATCTCTCTCTTTCATAATTCACAGGGGTTAACCATGGTACAATAATTGCTACATGCCTGTAAATATCAAAACATAAAAAACCAAATAGCTGAATCATAGATCCTTTTTCCTTTTCGTCGTAATCCGCTAAATACATATGCCCTTCCAATATATAATATCAAAACTCGCGCGGTAGGGTTCGGGAACTCCTATTAAATACACAAGTCAATTAATTTTATTCTTTACGATCCTTTAATAGTTTCATGAACATACTTTGGAAATTGTTTCTCGCACTCATCTGAAATTTATTCCTGCAATTAATTTATGATGAGCACCGACAATGGAATTCACCCAAAATTACTTTAATCATTGGGACTTATTTTTATAATAATAATTAATACTAATTAATAATGAAAAATAATAATTAACATTAATTAATTAATAATCAATTATGTAATTAAAATTAAGTTCATTGAAATACTGTTAAAACAATCATTGTAACATAATAATTATAATGGAATATACATAATAATATAATTGAGAGGCTTGTTGCTATAAGAGGATACGCGCCATGTTAAAGTGAGTATTCTCTTATAGCATCTAGCCCACAGTGGGACAAGATATACTCAGTTTTTCTAAAAACCATAGATAGTGAAAAGTTAGTTTTCTTTTAAAATCAACGGTGCTCACACTCTAAACAGCAAAACAATTATTAGCAAGATAAAATCGAGAAAGGGCCAAATTACATAAGCCAAGTGT